TTTGGTCTAAAGGAAAAGGGATTTATTTAAATCCTTTTTGAAAAGAAAAGAAAAGAAAAGAAGGAGGGAGGGGAATTAGACTTCCCTCGGGAGGCTATGGCGCGGCCCGAGGGAAAGGGGCGGCTCGGGCGAGCTTAATGGGCCGGCCAGCCCAGCAAGGCGGCCCAAGGCGCGCGCGGGCGGGGAGGAGAGAGAGAGAGAGCCGGTGGGCCAGGTCCATCCCGCGTGGTCCCAAGTGGGACCCGCTTGTCAACGACTCGGCTCACCGTGAGCGAGGTGCACGCGGGGCGTGCTAGGGTTTGGGGAGGGGGGCGTGGCGCACGCACGCGGCTCGCGGGGGACGCGGGTGCGGCGGGCCCACGCGCAGCCTCGCGGCTCACCGTGGACCACGCACACGGGGAGGGCAGAGGGGAGCGGCGGACCGGGGTCGGCTCGACCCGGTCGCGGCCGAGGTGGCACCGAAATGGCGTGTTCGTGGCAGCCACGTGGGCCGGCGAGAGGAAGACGAAGGCGCCAGCCGCGAATGGACGGTGGGCGGCGGCGGTTTCTCCGGGACGCCGTGCGACGACGAGGGGCGACGGGGTGTACACCGGAATGACAAGGGGGGACGAGAGGGAGCGGGCCAACGGCTTGGATTCGTCGGAGGATGCTCAACGGCGGCGAATTGCGGTGGCGGCAACCGGCGGCGTGAAAAGGGGGAAACGGCGACGAGGTCACGAGGGGCTGATTCCCGGCGGTGAGAGCATCTACACGGCTACAGAAATCCATCCCTTGAGCCGGATTAGGGGGGAAACGCACCGAGGGAGGCTGGCGACGAGAGGCGCTTCAGAGCTCGGGCGGCGACGGTGGCGAGCACACGGCGAGCGACGGCAGCAGTCGGGGCGGCGCGAGCTAGCTACTGGGGTACTACACACACTACTAACTGAGTCTAATGGGAGGAGATGGATCGAGGAGGGAGAACGGGGGAATGCACTACCGAGACGAGGCGGGGCGCTGTGACGAGAGGCCGACGGCACGGGAGTGATCTCTCCGGCCTCGGGCCGGGGAAGAGGAAGAAGAGGGCGCGCCCGAAGTCCCCTTCCGCGTCCTCGTTCGTGCCGGCTCCTCTGACACGCGCGACGACAAACGGCGACGGCGAACAGAGCACGGGAGGCGGCGACAATGGAGTGGAGGCGATGGGACAACGAGAGGAGAAGAGAGGGAGGGCGCCTGGGCTTTATAGGATGGCAATGTCAGTTTGGGAACCGACCTAGGGCGGTCAAAGGAGAGGGCTAGCGCTCGGCGGTCGCGGCCAAAACGCCGACAGGGAGGGATGACACCGGCAGGAGAGAAAAGGGAAAAAGGAGGAGAGAAAGGGGGCTTGCCCCCTTGCCACTTTGGGGAAAAGGAGGAGGGAGAGAGGGCGACGCGGCAGAGGGAGGAGGAGCTCTGCCTCTGTCCCTTGGAGGCTAGCGCGCGGAGTGGCGGGGTCGGGTTGATGACGACGGCGATGACGGCCGGGCGGTGTGGAGCGGAGCAGCGACACGGGCGGCAGGCGCGGCAGAGGCTGACGGCGGCGGCGACCAGGCGGTCGGCCACCACGGCGTGCGCGCGCGGGAAGCAACGGGCGGCGCGGCTCAGGCACGCGTGCTGGCTCGCGGGGCCGAGCGGCTGCGCGGTAGGGCAACGGGGCCGGGCGGCGCAGACGGCACAGGCGCGGCACGGGCGGCGACCACGCGGGCGCGCGCGCGCGAACAACGGCGCGCGGGGGCCGATTTCGCGGGCGGGGAGCTCGCCAGGGATGGAGGCGGGGAGAGGGAGAGCGAGGGGGGGCGCTCGGCGCGGCTCTCGCGCACGCGCGGGCAGAGCGAGGGAGAGAGGGAGAGATGGGGAGGGAGGGAGAGATGGGCCGAGAGGAATTCGGCCCATCGAACCCGAGGGAGGCAAAATAGACTTTTGCGGAGGGATTTGATTTGGGAAGGATTTGGATTCGGGATTGATCTTGACGATAGATCGGGGATTGAGATCCGGAAAGGCACGGAGACTGACAGCAAGCGAAGAAACAATTTTCGCAATTAGGGTTTTTAGGAAATACAATTTCCCGCTAGGCGCCACGACGGAACGGGCGCTACATTTACACTATATCACATCGAACATTTGAACACCTGCATGAAGTTAAATATAGACTAAAAATATAACTAATTGCATAGATTGCGACTAATTTGCGAGACGAATATTTTAAGCCCAATTGCTTCATGATTTGACAATGTGGTGCTACATTAACTTTTGCTAATGACGGATTAGTTAGGATTAATAAATTCGTCTCGTTGTTTACTGACGGATTCTGTAATTAGTTTTCTTATTAGTACCCGAACACACCATGCGACACCCTATATAACACCCGATGTGACACGTCAAAACTTTACACCCCTGTATCTAAACACCCGCTAATTTAGTAGCCCCAACATCTTCAGCTTTTCTAGGTTCTCGCTAGCTAGTTACTCACCGACTATTTGTTAGAATCCTTCCCTAGCTACGATCTCTGTGTGACACTTGCCTAGCAGTTGATATATGTTTTCTGGGATTTGAAAAATGTCAACCGCGCAAAATGTCAAGCACTGTTGAAGCAGGAATATACATGCCTAGGGGGAAAAAGGAGAAATTTTAGAAAATTCATGCAAAAGTCCCGAAGCTTTTTTTTTCTAAAAGAATGTATAATTTTGGGGGAACGAAAATTGAAATCTTCAAAATTTTGTGAAGCGCCAACAATGTGGTGGTTAGGGTGGGACATTCGGTCAGACCAACTATCCAATCTTTGTTCTCAATCTTTTGAGAAATTTCGGTAATCTAAAAAGTAAAAGATCGAATTAACTAATTCGTTATCGGTATCCAATATGACCGAAATTTCAAAAGAGATCCAAAACCGCACAAATCCAGAAATTCACGCAAATCCAAAAAAATCACACAAATTGCCATTGGAGTAGATGATCCGAGGAGGTAGACAGAGAGTACGTAGGCTGTCAGCGCAGCGACCATTGGCGGCGGCGGCGGCGGTGCCCATGACCCAACCCTCACCGTGCGCCGCTTAGCATTGGCCAGTGTGGTGGCGTAACATGGAGGAGGAGCTGTAGGCGGCTCGGCACGCTGGTCATGGCCATGGGCGGCGAAGTGGGAGATCGATCATTTCAAGTAAGAATCTATAGCAAGGCAAGGATATACTCACTTGAAATGATATGTGAGTTAGGTTTGCATATATACATCCTATAGGATCGAACACAAGCAACCAACCCAAAAACTTTTAGCGGAAATAAAAGTTACCCTTAAATTGATGGAAATCTCGACGTAGTTTTATCGCCGCCGGTCGGACCGCTCGGACGCCGCCGGTTAGACCGCCGGTATGTCGTCGGTTAGACCACCGAACCCGATAAAACATAAATCGAAGAACTCTCAAAATAGATGACAACTTTATTGCTTCTCTGTGTTTACAAAGTGCAACAACAGCACTCCTTACAAAAATCTCGACTAAACTCGAAACCCTAACTAAACTATCAACTCCATGCTCTGAAAAGCGATACAGGGAAGTCACACGCTCCCTCTCTATTTATACCAAAAAACCTCCTACTTAAAGTAGGAGTAGAACTCCTAGTTCCAAAACCTGCAGCCACACCGGCCACAGACAAGTCGGACTCTCCTCGCCGTCACAGCAGCGACACGTCCTCCTGTTCTCCTGAGCCGACTCGGCTTGCCATAGCCCCGAGCCAACCTATCAGATCAACACAAATGCATGCAGCCACATGCACGTGTACATGCATCCACATACACGCATACACGCCACTGTGTACACATATATGCACAATACAGTAACACCGCTACAGTACCTCGAGTACTGTAGCAACCATATAATACTCCACAATTTTCCTCCGCGAACACCGACGCTTGCACGCACACCTCGTGAAGCCCGCTGCGAAGATCTCTTCCACACGATGTCCATCCATCATGTACCATCTCATATCCAACTTCGTCACCCGGTATCCTTAACCGTCTGGACCTTAACTCCTCCCTGAGTCTAGTCCCGATCCCCACCGTTGACCGAAGTTGACCTTCAAGAATCCTGACTTTAGTCACCTTCTCACATGGTATCCCGACCACACTAGACATCTGTTCCTCCCTGAACATAGTCTCGGTCCTCACCATTAACCAAGGCTGACCTCAAGTCACCTGCACACAATCAGACAAAACAACCGTTTCTGAGCACAAATATCACAACCTGACCCACATTAGTCACACGCACACACACCAACATCCACACATCTTTTCAAACCAATTCATCGAATAAATCATTTGTAAAGCCAATTGTTCATCACAAATATTAATCATGACAATGATTTCACAATTGGTATCAGAGCCAGGCTAGGTTAACATCTCTGGCCCGATGGACATGTGTGAAGGCCTGATGAACCGTGGGTGCCTGCGGGGCCCGTATACCTGATGGACCGTGGGCCGGTGGGGGCCCGGATACAGTGAAAGGGCGGTGAAGGGCTGAGGGACACTAATGTGTGAAGGAGGAGATTGTTGAATAGTCCCACATTGGTTGTAGAAGGGCAAATGACCTAAGATATAAGTGGGGAGCCCCTCATCTCAATGGCTAGTTTCTGAGGTGGGAAAGGCCCTTTACGACTTCTGTATAACCGTGAAAGAAAATCTCAGGATTTTAAGAATTCTGTTCCGAAATTCTGAGTCGTTGGTCTCCATCTGTGTTTGAGTGGATATGTGAATGAGGTTTGCATACATCCTGTGTTAGCTTCTGTATAACCGTGAAAGAAAATCTCAGGATTTTAAGAATTATGTTCCGAAATTCTGAACCATGCATGCTGACAGGTTTGGCATGCCCCTATGGCGGCGAAATTAAGACAGTGTTGCGCGCCCTTATCCGTTTGATTCGAGCCAATCCAGAAAACCAGGAGCATCCCGGCCGTCTATCCCCGCACTACTATAAATACTTGCCCGGAGACGATTTCTTCTCCACGCAGCAAGAGCCGATCGATCATTGTCCAAGTCTCCAAGCGATCAGCTAGCTGACTTGACGACGCTGCGAGCAGCGGCAGCAAGAGAGCAGCAGCACAAAGGGTTCCCCTTTCACAAGTGTCCGGCCGGCTGCACGTAGGCCATGGGGAAGCAAATGGCCGCCCTGTGTGGCTTTCTCCTCGTGGCGTTGCTCTGGCTCACGCCCGACGTCGCGCACGCGCAGACGCAGATCCTCTTCCAGGTGCTTTATTCATTTCACCCATAAACGGGCAAGGGGGTTCACCTGTGTAAAATTATCGACAGCAAGTCAGAACGGCTAATATAATTCACGTACAACCGAATACGTGTCTGTAACATTTTTGTGCAGGGTTTTAACTGGGACTCGTGGAAGAAGCAGGGTGGTTGGTACAACATGCTCAAGGACCAGGTGGGCGACATCGCCAGCGCCGGCGTCACGCACGTCTGGCTCCCACCTCCCACGCACTCCGTCTCGCCTCAAGGCCAGCAAGCCATGCATCTCCTTCATCTCGTTACGCTTCTCTTTGTAGCATGTCCGTTTCTAAATATTTGACACCATTGACTTTTTAGCATATGTTTAACCGTTTACTTTATTTAAATTTTTTTGTGAAATATGTAACACTATATGTATACATATAAGTATATTTAACAATAAATTAAATGATAGGAAAAGAATTAATAATTATTTAAATTTTTTAAATAAGATGAACGGTCGAACATATTTAAAAATATAACGGTATGAAATATTTAGAAAGGGAGGGAGTATATTACGTGACGTAAAGTGTGTTACGGCCAGTGTCTTACTGCAATTATCAGCTGATCTAGCTCATCAGGCAATTGACATGTATGCATGCATGTGTTTAAATCGATTTTTCCCGTGCATGCACGCAGGCTACATGCCGGGACGGCTCTACGACCTGAACGCGTCCAAGTACGGCACCAAGGCGGAGCTCAAGTCGCTCATCGCCGCCTTCCACGCCAAGGGCATCAAGTGCGTCGCGGACATCGTCGTCAACCACCGCTGCGCCGACGACAAGGACGGCCGCGGCGTCTACTGCATCTTCAAGGGCGGCGGCCCGCGCGGCTGCCTGGACTGGGGCCCCTCCATGATCTGCTGCGACGACACGCAGTACTCCGACGGCACGGGCCACCGCGACACCGGCGCCGACTTCGCCGCGGCGCCCGATATCGACCACCTCAACCCGCTCGTCCAGCGGGAGCTCTCCGACTGGCTCAGGTGGCTCAGGAGGGATGTCGGCTTCGACGGCTGGCGCCTCGACTTCGCCAAGGGCTACTCGGCGGCCGTCGCCAGGACGTATGTCCAGAACGCCAGGCCGAGCTTCGTCGTGGCGGAGATATGGAACTCCCTGAGCTACGACGGCGACGGGAAGCCGGCGGCCAACCAGGACGGCCAGCGGCAGGAGCTCGTGAACTGGGTGAAGCAGGTTGGCGGCCCGGCGACGGCGTTCGACTTCACGACCAAGGGCATCCTGCAGTCGGCGGTGCAGGGCGAGCTGTGGCGGATGCGGGACAAGGACGGCAAGGCGCCGGGCATGATAGGCTGGTATCCCGAGAAGGCCGTCACCTTCGTCGACAACCACGACACCGGCTCGACGCAGCGGATGTGGCCATTCCCGTCTGACAAGGTCATTCTGGGCTACGCCTACATCCTCACCCACCCAGGAGTACCATGCATCGTACGCAATTAACTTCTCAAAGCTTGTTATAACATCCATGGATCGATGCTTCATCATTCATAGGTGACAATTTTGTTTTGTGTTGTTTAGTTCTACGACCACGTGTTCGACTGGAACCTCAAGCAAGAGATCAACGCGCTGGCGGCGACGAGGAAGCGCAACGGGATAAACGCCGGGAGCAAGCTGCGCGTCCTGGCGGCGGAGAGCGACATGTACGTGGCGATGGTCGACGAGAGGGTCATCACCAAGATCGGGCCGAGAATAGACGTGGGCAACATAATCCCGTCGGACTTCCACATCGTGGCTCATGGCAATGACTACTGCGTCTGGGAGAAGAGCGGCCTTAGAGTCCCAGAACCAGAAGGTCGGCGCTAGAAACGGCTCGCAAGCTAGCTACACAGTTCTTAATAACTTGGTCGCAAAAAAAAAGTTCTTAATAATTTGTACGAGAAATGTTCGTTTCTGTTTGCATATATAGCTTATGAAATCTTACCAATATATACTGCTCTGTTTTCTATAGTTCATCCCGGAAATTTGAACTTGCAAGCCCAAATTTTGAATATATCTTTTGCTAGAAAACTTTCTTACTCCAAATTTTTAACATACAAGTAAAAAATACAATAGAATATTCTCTATGATTACTTAAATTGGACCTTATTGATGGTAAGATACTTAATTAGTTGCGTTCGTTTGGGCTTATCGGACGAGCTACTTCATCGTTCATCATTAGCACTCTTTCAAATGTTAAATAGTATATTTTTGAAAAAATATACATAATTATTTGAAATATATAATAAATCCATTTTTAAGTTTACAATAGCTAATACTTAATTAATTATATACTAATGATATTTCTTATTTTACGTACGGCTTATAAGCTCACTTAAGACTTACTCCCTCCGTTTCATAATGTTAAGTCATTCTAGCATTGCTAGAATATATATGTCTAGATTCATCAACATCTATATGAATGTGGGCAATACTAGAATGACTTACATTATAAAACAAAGGAAGTAGTTCAAACGAATCCTTAGTCCATGTTCTTTTCAGCTCCTTCACTAAGTTATTTCTATGCATTATTTGTTCCTCTAAAAGTACGATTTCTCGTTAAAAAAATCTATCTACCGTATATTTATTAAGTTTATTTACCACAATATTCAAGTTATATCTATAACCATGCAGATAATCCAATACAATAACTTTTTTGAAACTAGGCTATAGTGAAGGCTGCATCACTGCATGGGCTAGCTTCTCATAAAAAAGGAAAAGAAAAAGGAAGAAGGCTACATGAGCCCAGTCAAGAGCAGGAACTATATGGACTTATCGTCAGGGATAAGGGCTGCATAACTAATGGGCCACGGCCCTTCCAGAAGGAATAAGTTCATTTTGATTTCCCTAACTAGTGGTTGAATTTGATTCGAATTCCTAAACCACAATACCGAATATCTTAACCCACAATTATTAAAACCGGTACAATTTGATTCCCTTAGTGGTTTTGGTGGGTTGTTTCGCTGATGTTGCGCTGACGTGACAGTGTTGACGTGGTGTTGATATGGCGCTTATGTGGCATTAGAATTAAAAAAATGGAATCCATTTATCATTCACATAAAAAAATATTTTGGACCCACTAACATAAGGGCCCACATCCACATGTCATCCTCTCACTTTTCCTTCTTTCTCCCTTTCTCTCACTGGCGTGCCACATCAAATTTTTTTAGATGGCAATGTATTTAATGCTATGGACACCTAATTTTTTTTTCTTATTCTCATTGCCATTTATCTATTTCTTATAATATTCCTTAAAAAAATGTGAAATTTGAAACCTCTAAGTTGAAGCCTGCATGAATTTATGTAGAAATTAGAACCCGTGGGTTGGCTCATGAAAAGCCATATGGACGGAAATAGAGAGAGAAAGTGACATGGACAAGGAAGAGAAAGAGTGGGGAAGAAGGATGCTTTGATATTAGAGAATGCTTCGATACTATAGGATAGGTGCACTTTCGCTCTATAATCTAGAAGCCATGGTCCCTCTAAATATAAGTTCTTCACGTGGTTGGTACTGCAAAATAGGCTTTGGAAAACCGACCAAGTACAACGGTGAGGATAACCCAACCAAAGAATTTGCCCACTATGTTGAACTTGCAACGAGACAGCTATATACCTCATAGCACACTGCCAAGTCACAAAGAGAATCTCGGGAGCCATAGCAAGGTGGGCACAGATCAACCTACAAATGGAGCAATGAAACACCATAGATATGGTGGAAAACTTGGTGGGCAACCTTAGCCCACACTACCGGAATATTGAAGAACACGCTCCGGTCACTCATTCTCCTAGTCAGTTGGGAAATATGGAAAAAGAGGAATGCTTATGCATGTGTTCCAGGCTTCCAACGCATCACATTAACGCCTACTATCATTATAGCAAAAATAAAGTAGGAGGCCAGAGACATACACCCGGACCTACTCTCATAACATTGTTATCTCTCTAAGTTTTTTTTTTTGCCCCCAACAGTCCTACCAAGCAAATCCTGCTAACACCTATAGGTAAACTCATTTCTCCTCCTTTATTAATGAAAAGAGGCCATCCTCATGTCCTCTTATTCGAAAAAAAGGTTGATAGGTGCTATAATCACAGGAAGGGTCTAAGGAGGTGAAAATGCTAACGGGCGATCGACCATGCACGTGCAATCCGTGTGATAGGGTCGGTCCGTACCTTTTTTTTTTTGGCTCACATGGTTTTCAGCTTTTCATTTTCTAACAAATCTTTTTATGGGCTTATGATCATCTAGTTTTCCCTTTTTAAGCTGGCATAGGCAACTTGTTTTTTAATTTGTTTGAAGTGTATATACAAAATCGTATATGTATACAATTCTATTATATATATATATATATATAAAGTTTATGTGTATATAATGTTTCTATGCATAATTTTTTTATAGGGGTAGACAAACACACTACTTCAACTTGTTTGAAACTTGTATATACAAAATTTTGTATGTTTGAACAAAGTCTTTATGTACAAAGCTTTGTTTGTCGGTGGCGTCGGGTGTGGGTTGGACTTGGCAATGCTCTCGAGATCCGAGTGTGACGAGGCGGACGAGTACATTGGCGTCGGCACCAGGATGGTGGTCTCCGTCGCAGCCAACGCGCCTCGGACAATCGGGAATACAGACAAGCCTAGACTGCTTGCTGCGCGCGCCGACACGGACATGGACCACCCTGACGTGGATTGCGAAAGAGAAAGAGGAGATGATGACGTACGTGGTCACCTGACGTATGGGGCCTACGTGGGTCCCACGCTGAGTCAACTGCCACGTCAGACAAAACTGGAGTCAAAACCGCCGAGGGACGTAGTTTGCATTGGTTTTGTAAGTTGATGGATGCATTGTATCTGGCTTTGCGGTTGGGGGACGATTTTGTAACTCGATGACAAGTTGAGGGACCTTCGGTGTACTTTTTCCTAATTTTTTTCAATCGGGCTAACATGTTACTGGGCCTAAAAAGCTGCTCGTTGGGCCGTTCAAAGAGAAATATATATGGGCCGACGCTGCTTGGACTCTTGTGGAAACGGAAAAACGGATGCTAAAGAGCGCATGTGACATCTTATCGTCATTTTCAAGGGTTAATTGGATCATACCACTGCTGCAAATGTGGACTATTCACGATATCGGCCGGATGTCACTAGAATTTTGAGAAATTAAATCCATACCACCCCGTCATGTTTTCCATCCTTCCCGTCACACTTTCCGTCCTTCCCGTCGCTCTTTCCAGGAGGCTGAGGGCACGGAGGCTGGCGTTGTGGGCGGCAGACGGCGGAGCCGCCGGGTCAAGGAGGCGGAGCGGCGGAGTTGCCGGCGGACGGAGACGACGGGTCGAGGAGGCGGAGCGGTGGAGTTGCCGGCCGGCGTCGTCCTCCGCTCCTCGCTGCCGACCCGCTCCTCACCCGCTACGGCGCCGTCGTGGTGGACGACGCGCACGACGGGATGGCTCTCACCGGCGTCATTCTCAGTTAGTCGGCCCATTCATCTTGAAGAAACAGCAACCAGTCATATCCAATTTCCATCCCAGTCCGTCGTCCCCTAGCTGCCGGCATGCCAGCCACAAGCAACCCTCGTCATGCTGCATCAAATAGCAACCTCGTCGTCGATCTGCATCATCAAGCAACAACAGCCGTTTCGGCATCTAGTGGTTGACATTCACCCAGCAGAAGCCCGGCCGGATTTGGCGCTGGATGCGGTGCTCGTTGAAGCCGCCCGTCACGTACGGCGCCTCTTCCCGTCCCCATCGCATCGCTCATCCTCACCGTCTCCTCGTCCTCATCGTCAATTGCGGTAACCTCATCCAAGTCATCGCCCGTCGTGGCCCATCGTCTACAAGCAGCAACAAGCCAGCTTCATTCCGGCGGTGGCGGCGGGCTGAACCACGGTGGCCGTGGCTTTGTGCTGCTGATGCTGCGCCGCAAGCTGCTCTCAACCACGCGTCCCCTCCCATGGAACTCGTCGACAGACTGCAGGCACTTGGCCGTGTCCTCCTCGGCAGACGGCAGACCAGGCACTTGGTCGAGGTCCTCGAGTCCGCAAAAACGCGCGTGCCGGTCTTGACGGCGGCGCCGCGGCGGAGTGGGCCGGCGCGGGACGAGTTGAGGAGGCCGAAGTCGAGGCCAGAGACCATCCCCCGAGAGGCGCTGGTCGTCGAGTTCGGCGGTGCTTTCAACGGCGAAGTAGAAAGACGGCACGTAGTTAGGAAATTAACGGGGGAAGGACGGAACATGCGACGGGGTGGTATGGATCCAATTTACCAAAATTTTAGTGGCACCTAGCCGATATCACGAATAGTAATAGCGTTTTATTAATTTGCCACATTTGCAGTGGCATGGATGCAATTAACCCCATTTTCAATCGCGCGTCCCTCAAGCGGTAAAACAGGACTCCGTAGGTAGTCAAACGGCCTGGAAACTAACCAGTGCAGAATCGCAGGATACCATAACCTGAATAAATCATACACACAAACCGGAAAAAAGAATAAAGAAAGAAAGAGGATAAATGGTAGCCAATTTGTGTTAGGGCGCAGCAGCCAGAGCCGAAAGCTTCTGAAGCTGATGCGATCAAACCTCAAAAGACCATGGGCAGCCAGCACGGAAGTTACAAACCGAAGCCGCGCGGCGCGCATACGCATCAGAAAGGCGCGCAATAACGGACCACCCATACGGCGGCCGCGCTCTGTTCGCGGCGTCCCTGCGCCTGCATCGCACGCCATCCAAGGCTGCATAGCACGACGCATACATATCTCACGCGCCCTTTTTATCTGCTTATAAATGAGATAGCCCACATAGCAGCGCTGCCGTTTCTCCTCTTCTCTCGTTGGGGGCAACCGAACTTATCCAACAACGATCCATCCATTGGCCAAGTGGCTGCCGTGCTGCACCTATAAATTCACATGCACCGGCATGCCACTCCACACAACTCAGCTACTCGAAAGAAGCAGCAATGGCAAAGCGCATAGCCTCAATGAGCAGCCTCCTC